TTGAATCAATTTGTATGGTAAGACTTCCCTTCTAAAAATTAGCATTTGTATTAATTTTTGAGATTAACAAAGAGTGTAAGTCTATTAATATTATTAGTATAAGTCTTTAATTGTGCCCTTTACCCCCCATTCCTGTTTCTGCAAAGCTTTATTTCCTTTTCAGCTAGTTATGACCTGCTTCTGCAAATTAGTTTGTATTTTAAAATAATTCAAGATAAAACTAAACTTAAGTTTTTAATATTTTCTAAATTGCAATTGAAAAGTATCATTGGTTGGCAAAGCTATATAAAAAACAGTACCTCAAATGAGCTAGTTCTTTAAACAGATTTTCAAAATTGCCATGAAAAAATACTAGTCCATGCCAAAAATTGTCTGCCTTTTACCATGGGAATGGTGATGACTAAAGCACTAGTGATGTAAAAATGTTTGACCTGAGCACAATAGGAGTAAAGTTTTGCAGGATTTTCTGAAAGATGTTTTAACTAACCACCTTACTCTATTGGTATTAAAGGGAGTCTCTACCCGGACTTTTTTTTCATTAAAAAAAATTGTTACCCAAAAGACATTTTTAGCTTTTCTTGCCAGTTTTCTTTTTCATATAGAAGTTTGCTTTTTGGGTTGCATGGTATAGATTATTTTAGACGTATGTCAGGCATCTCCCTGTTTAACTTGTATGGGATATTGCAAGAAACCTTAAAAGGTAGGGTCCATGACAGTCATTAGTGTAAAAGATTATATGCATAGTTTCCCCAATAAAAGTGGTGCAGTCACACTGAAAAGAAAGGAGGGTATTCTTCAATTTTGGATATAATGGGTGTTGAACTCAGTCCATGAAGCATTGTGGCTGGGTAGGCCCATTTTTCTTCTTTAATGGTTCAAACAGTTTGTATTCAAAATTACACACAAAAGATCTGCAACTTCTTCCTAATGAATCAAACAGTTAATTTATGTCTTTTATAAAGATTTTTCCATTCTAGTTTAAGTAATTACCGGCCTGTGCCGTTATCTGTGAGCATAGGAGTCTCTTCATACCACGATCTGCCAATGTTAGCAACCATCTTTTTCAGTTTTCAGTGAAACTGACTTTCTAATCTTTTTATACCATATTTTTACTTTGTAAATCCTTTTCTGTACTACTCTGTAGGCCTCTGCAAATAGGGTAATATTCAATTTAGATTTGGCCAATTCGGAAGACAGTGATTTGATTCAGAGATTAGGATCGCTGTCCCAAATCAATTTGGCTGAATTGGCTTTGGAAGATTTGGTGCTGATTCGGAGATTTGGATGGAAACAGCAGGGATGCTAGCTTTTTCTGAGAGCACAAAGCCTGCCAAGTTTCAAGGAGATAGGTGCAGGGGTTTCTGGAAAACCGCACCTCAAACGGCTGAAAGCAAAATGCATGTCACGTGTATATTAAGGAAGATTTGCGTGAAAACAGCAGGGATGGTAGCCTGTAACAGGGGGCCTTCCAGTTAGATTTCTGCCTGCCCATCTGTTTCTGGGCCAGCTGCCCACCTCTCTTTTGCTCAGGCAGAAGCAGCTCACAAAAGGGACAGAAAGGCTGCAGATAGAGGGTTATATGCTGTTTCTATGTCCCTCCCCCAGAGCACTGTGATTGGAAGGGAACTCAGGGAAAAATGACAGTCACTGGCTGGCTACAGATGTCAGTCTTTCCTTCCCTGCTCCCCCTCCCTCTTCTCAGTTTCTGTTCTCCTGAAAGACTGCCTTCCAATCTCCAAATCTTTCTCCGAATCTTTTCTGAATGGATCTGGAGGCTCTGAATTGAGTCAGAGGTTTTTTTTTGGTCTCCTGATTTGATTCAGATTCGATGATTTGGGCCGAATCTTCTCTGAATCGAATCGGCAATGGAAGCTTCGTACACCCCTACTACTCTGGGCTTCCTTTCTTTTTTTTGGTTAAATTCTATTAGCTACAAAATGTTATTTTGTTATTCTTTTGCATGGTTTGTCTTAATGTTCGTGTTGTCTTACTATGGTTTTCTGTGCTTTGCTTTCTTAATTTAAGAGTTTTAAAAAAGTTTTCCTTTCCTGCCCTAGACATTGTTCTGCCCCTTAGTTCTTGCTTTCCAGTTGAACTTAAAATGTACTATGTTGTTTCTAAATGTTAAGGTTTAAAACCTTTGGATATGACTGTTCAAATCTTACTGAGCAAATCTGAAGTTAAGGATTTAGAATCTACTTTGTGCCAACATAGCAAGACGATTGATCCAGATTAGTATCATTGGTAAAAAATAATACAATATTTTAGAATGGCGCAACATTGGCTTCTTTTTCTTGCTTTCTTTTTTTTTGCTAGTATATAGCTGCTATTTTGACAGAAAAATTACACACAATAATATGAGAAAAGTTTTGTGTTGATAATAGAAATATAAAGTTTGTTTCTTCAAGTCTTAACAGTTGAGTAGCAGAAAGCCGTGCTGCTCAAAGTGCATGTTAGGGGTTAGTTCAGCAGCCTGTCAAAGAAAAGAAGTACTTAAGGT